AAAAAAAAAAAAAAAAAAAAATTGGGGATGGGGGCAAAAGATCTCAATAAACATTTCTCCAAAGAAGATACAAACAAATCCAATAAGCATATAAAAGATGCTTGATATCATTAGTTATCAGAGAAATGCAGTTAAAAACCACAATGAGGCTGAGCACGGTGGCTCACACCTGTAATTCCAGCACTTTGGGAGGCCAAGGCAGGCAGATCACGAGGTCAAGAGATCGAGACCATCCTGGCCCACATGGTGAAACCCCGTCTCTACCAAAAATACAAAAATTATCTGGGCATGGTGGTGCACGTCTGTAATCCCAGCTACTCGGGAAGCTGAGGCAGGAGAATTGCTTGAACCCAGGAGGTGGAGGGGTTGCAGGGAGCCAAGATCACGGCACTGCATTCCAGCCTGGGTAACAGAGCAAGACTCCATCTCAAAAAATAAACAAAAACCACAAGGAGATACCACTTCATACCCACTAGGATGGCTAGAATCAAAAAGTTAGATAATACATGTTGGTGAGGATATGGAGAACCTGGAAGCCTCCTATGCTGCCGGAGGGATTGAAAATGGTCCAGCTGCTGTGGGACTCGGCCCGACAGTTCTTTAAACAATTAAACATGAAGTTACCATATGATTTAGCAATTCCACATCGAGGTATACACCTAGGAGAAATGAAGACATATACCCACACATAAACATGTACACTAACATTTGTGTCAACAGATTTATAATAGCCAAAGAAGCAACCTAGATGGCCATCAATGGACAAGTGGATAAACAGGGAATAGTATTTGGCCATGGAAAGAAATGAAATACAGGTTGAGCATTCCTAATCCCAAAATCCAAAATACTCTAAAATCCAAACTTTTTGAGTATAATGATGCCACAAATGAAAAATTCAACATACAAATACTTAACACAAACTTTGTTTCATGCACAAAATTGTTAAAAATACTGTATAAAATTACCTTCAGACTATGTGCATAAGATGTACATGAAACAAGTGAATTTTGTGGTTAGACTCTGGGTCCCATCCGGAAGACATCTCATTATGTAAATACAAATATTCCAAAATTTGAAAACATCTGAAATCCAAAACACTTCTGGTCTCAAGCATTTTGGGCAAGGAATACTTAACGTATACTGACACATGCTACAATATGGATGGACTTTTGTTGTTGTTGCTTTTTGAGACAGGGTCTTGCTCTGTCCCCCAGGTTGAAGTGCAAGTGTGATCATGGCTCACTGCTGCCTTAACCTTCTGGGCCTAAGGGAGCCTCCCACCTCAGCCTTCAAAGTAGCTGGGACCATAGGTGAGCCCTGCCATGCCTGGCTAATTTGTTTTGTTTTTTAGTTTTTATAGAGACAGGGCCTTACTCTGTCACCCAGGCTTGTCTTGAACTCCTGGGCTCCCAAAGTGCTGTGATTACAGGTGTGAGCAACCGTGTCCAGCCTGGATGGACTTTTAAAACATTATGCTCAGCCGGGTGCGGTGGCTCACGCCTGTAATCCCAGCACTTTGGGAGGCCAAGGCGGGTAGATCACCTGAGGTCGGGAATTCGAGACCAGCCTGACCAACGTGGAGAAACTCTGTCTCTTCTAAAAATACAAAATTAGCCAAGTGTGGTGGCACATTGTTCTTTAAACAATTAAAAGACTCTTTAAACAAAAAGAAGCTGTAATTCCAGCTACTTGGGAGGCTGAGGCAGGAGAATCACTTGAACCCGGGAGGCAGAGGTTGCAGTGAGCCAAGATCACACCATTGCATTCCAGCTTGAGCAAAAAGAGTGAAACTCTGTCTCAAAAAAAAACCAGGCCGGGCACGGTGGCTCAAGCCTGTAATCCCAGCACTTTGGGAGGCCGAGACGGGCGGATCACGAGGTCAGGAGATTGAGACCATCCTGGCGAACACGGTGAAACCCCGTCTCTACTAAAAAAGTACAAAAAAACTAGCCGGGCGAGGTGGTGGGCGCCTGTAGTCCCAGTTACTCCG